GTGTCTTACCCTTTTGGGGGGATCTCTTCCACATTTGAGGGAGGTTTCTGACCCACTTAGGGGGGCCATTTAGGATGGGGGCTTCAGCCTGGTTTTGGTGGGAGTCTCTGACACATGGGACCCCCAGTTCCAGGAAACCATGAGACCCACTGAGACCATGAAGACCCCTGAGGCCACCAAGGCTGGTGGTTTTATTTTGGGGGATGACACTCAGCAGGGGAGTTCCCTCCAGGATCCTGACTGGCAGGGTGTCACAAGTGTACTTTCTACTACATGGGCCGCTGAACCTCGACTGGTCCTGAAGCCTTACTCAGACAGGCAGCTCCACTTCTCTAAATGCCAGAACATCCCTGCAAAAAAAGCTCAAACAGCCTAGGAGCTCTCAGCCACTGAAGGAACAGCAAAGCACCCTAAGGAGAGGCTGTGATTTATATACCCCAGCCTTAGTGGCTGCACCTTTTGCTGCCCCAGCCCATCCCTTCCTGCAGCCTTTCTTAATCCTTGGCTCAGCCACTTTCGCACCTAGTGAGTACAACCCAGATGCTGCAGCTCACAGATGAAATCCATCTCCCATCTCCTGGCCCCAACCACACACACTGAGCCCAGCAGATGAAAACAGAATAGGCAGGAAAGAAGAAAAAAATAGAGAAGAAGCCTAAAAAAGTAGACATGGAAAGAAACTTGAAAATGCAAAGAGGAGCAAGGCCAGGAGAGAACTAAAAACGGGCATGGAAAGCTACAGTACCAGTGTATATATGTATAAATAAAATTTTAAAGCCAAGAGATTAAGAGAGGAAAATAGACAGCAAGCTATATAAAAGTAGTTTTTATTTTTAAAGCTAAGGAACTAGGAAAAAATATCAACAGTGAACTAAGATAAAAACAGACAGAAATGGAAAAAAACAAAAAAAAACCCTTAAACTTTCTGATACAGGCCAGGGCATCTTCAGAAATTTTGCTTGTGAAAGTGAAAACAGAAATGTGCACCTACTGATTTGCATGTGTATTTTAGCAATAAAAAGTGAATCTTTTTTTATTTTTTTTTATAAGGCAGCACAGAAAATACACTAATGTGAAGAATATGTGTTTCAGTCTTTATATGGTAATCTCTGGTGTGCCTTCAAACACAGCACTGCTGAATTTGGCAATCATAAAGACAACATTGAGTAGTACAGTGCCCCAAATTTCTTGTTGCAGTTTATCATTTGTGGTCATCTTCACTACTGAAAGAAAACTATGGGAGCGAGTTCATGTTACCCTGAAAACGTGTAGGACACATCACTGGTATCTGTGCCTCTACTTATCTAGCTGTCCATTGTGGGTCAGACATATAACAGTAGAAAATAAAAATCAATTGTACACATAAAGTGCACATTATTGATGTATAGAAATGCAAAGGCCTTGATCTTCAGAGAATATTTCCATGATTGGAGGATTACTGTGACGTTTGACCCTAAGCTAAGAAAAATCAATATAGTCATAAAAATTTGCCATAAAAAGCCAGTGAGGTAGCTTCTAGACCTGGAAGAAAAATGAGTTGTCTCCCCATCACTAAATGACTAAATTCTGAATGTTGTTATAAACAGTTTTTGTAAATAGTCGGAGTTGCAAGCTGTCTGAACTAAGGCAAAAAGCAGCATCAGCACTACGAAATTATTGTTGGCACTTGAATTTATTTTCCCTTGTGGATTGTCAAGTTGTCATTTAACTGTTGTACCATTTTAAATGAGATAATGCATCCTGGAACATTGTGTGGATCGTTACATGTCTGTTTTAATGTTTAGATTTTACAGAGCAAGTAAATCTCCGGCCATGGTAGTTCAGTCTCACCAAACACTTCAGGTTTCCAAACAAAGCTTCAGCATCTCTGCATGAGCTGGCAGGGGTGGGAGTGTGTCTGTGGACCACTTCAGCAGACTTAGAGGGTTTTATATCAATAACAGAAAAATATACTTTAAGTACTCAAGAGAAGACACATGTTTAGAATTCTGCTTTAAGTACTTCATAGAAATGGCTGGCTGGAGACTGCTAGCTTGCCAAAATGATTGAGTACTTTCAGGCAAGCTGTCAAGCGTGAAATCGGACATGACCTATTGACTGATCTTCAGCACCAAAATTAAAAGATAATGATTAGCTTTTTAGAGTCTCAACAGAGGAAGTTTATTCATCCTTTACAGGACATTTGAATTAGCACTACACTTTTGTAGAGTGCTGATGAGGATCACCTAAAAGAACATTATAGTGCTAGATGTGCTTCTTAATTCATATTGCTCCTAGCAGTGGACTTGCACATTAATACCAGGCGTGTCTAATGAGGCTATGCCCTTGGCCATAGCACTGATAATGCTGGCTCCAGAAAAAATTTTGTACACAAAATAAACATATTTATTTCTTTTCTCCTCTTTTTAAAAATAAGATACTTTTCCCTCCCCACTGCCCAACATTTCTTAATGTTTAGAGTGTTTAAAAGGGTTTCCTCAGCTTACCATCAGTATCCAAAATGGACTTTAACAGTTTGATCACCTCAAAAAAAAAAAAAATCAAGTATATTTTTAAGCTCTCCTAAATAATTTTTAGACATCATCTCATCTTCCAAGCTGTGGTCTATCCCCAGGCGCCAAGAGGAATTCTTAAAGAGAGTATTTACTCTGAGAATTTTTATGTGAGCAAACTAAGACATTATATAGGATGAGGGTGATGAGACACTGGAACAGCCCGCTAGAGAAGTTGTGAATGCCCCATCATTGGAAACATTCAAACTCAGTTTGGATGGGGCTTTGAGAAACCAAATCTGTCAAAAGCTGAATCTGCCCATGGACGGGGTTTGGACTAGGCAGCATATTAATGTCCCTTCTGACCCAAGCCATTCTATGATTCTATGTGCCTTTGATGTGTAGAACTTCCACTGCTATTCTTCAAAAAATGTTTAAACTTAGTAAAAGGTAATTTAGGAGCATTCATTCTGTTCCAGTGGTTTTATCCTCCTCTAGGAAGACACAGAGAATGGTAACTTTGTGGAGTATAGGTACAACTGTGGGTTTAATTTCTAATTCTGCCACATGTTAACAAGGTGAGGATGTATAATGCATAGCTTTATCAAATCTTCTACCTGAAGTAATCATATTCTTCATTAGAAGAAACCCATGCATTCATCTCAGTCACAGGGCAACTGTGCTACAACAATCCATCTGAAGTAAAGAAAGGAATAGGAAAGAGAGAAATATAAACTAAAAAATTAACAACAGTAGATTGTAACCTATGAACAATTACATCCATTAATGTTCTTTGAGACCAGGCAGTTTGTGTGCTCTTTTGTAACAGAAAATATTTCAGCCTATTCTCTGTTTTTCCTGCTGAGGTAATGCAGATGGGTAGCTTAAGGTCTGGATTAAAAATGGAACTTGTGTCATCTAGTCAGTTTTTATAGTCTCTATGTAAGTATCACTATCAAGAAGAATGACATCTTTAGTATGTCTGACATTTAAAACGGAATTATAATGATTTTCTCCCAAAAAGAAATACTGAATTATATGGATGGGAAAAATAGAGTAAAACCATTGTCAAATTTAGGAGTATCTTCAAGACGTCAGTATAACAAGTAATATGGCCTCAGGATAATAAACGAGAAGTGCAGAATCAGAGAATATAAAAGATGCTGTCTGTGAAGAGGGAGTGAGTTTGGAGGGGCCAAAATTCCAGACATTGTTTTGTTTTTACATCAGGACTCTGGTGCTAAGCTGTTGCAGGAGGAAAGACTCTCTGCAGGCATTTACAATGATAGTGCTTGGGAAAATTTACCTTCTTTTGCACAGGCAAGCTGAATATTTGTTATTACTGAGATACATAAACGAAAACTTAGTCCGAAAGTTCTGTTTTATTCTATTTTTCTGTGGCTGAGACTGTTCTTAAAACTTAGAAGGTGCTATAGATATATAATCTCAAAGAACTTAAAGCTGCAGGTTTTTTATTTCCAGCTTTTTTTAAAAATGAGAATCTTTTACCGTTCATAGTTAAATTATGCTTGGAGCGGTAGTAGACTGAACAATAGATTGATTTTCTCCTCCCTTCAGCCCCAGCAAATATAAATTTCATGTGCAAAGCTCACACTCTTTCACTTGCTCCTGTAGCAAAATAAACTGCTCATAATGTGTCAATTTACTCACATAGATGGAAGATGGCAGAGGTTGTAACTTTTTACTGGACGTCGTGGATGTTTAGTTTTACACATTCTTTTAAAGAAAGGTATGTTTTATTTTTAATTTACCATTTATTTTTGTTTCTCTTTAAAAAATGTCTAACTTGCCTATTTGTATACTGATTTCCAAAAGTATTTTCATGTTTAGAAGGCTCAACATAAAGATTCCTCTATAAACATCTATATTGCAACCATAAGATTCCAGCTTCTGTTGACTTGTTAGCACTCCTGTTTTACAGGGTGAAAATTAATCCCATTTGAAAAGAAAATGCTATGCTAAAGCATCTTTTTCCTAAAAAATACCAAAATAAGATACTATTCTATTGAATTGTGCTGTACATACAATGAAAAGGTAAATCTACAAGTGTTTTGCTTGTCCCAAATATAAGAAAAATTGTGTTACAATTCTATATGTATACAATTTTGTCCACAATGTAGTGGACTGCTAATGAAGAAACCAACATATGAAAGAAAGGTGAGATGTACAATTACACACATCTATTACTAGTTTATCTGTATTCAGATGACAGTCATTTAGGAAAATGCTGGTAAAGAATTTTTATGTAAATAATTTAGTTCTCAAAGTATTGTGACCAAAGATAGTAACGCTTGGCACTTAGGCACTCTATTCACTATTTCAACTGCAGGTATCATTGATCAGAGGAAGTGAACCAATTACAACATTCTATTTATTTATTGCTGACATCCATAAACAAAAAACAAATGTCTGCACAAAATTATATGCTTAAACATGCCTTTTTAATTAATAATGACATTTTCATGAGATGATTTATTCCCTCTTGAGCTCCTTTATATAACTAATTTTCTCCGTGAAACAGTAATTGGACTGCCATAATTACAGCTCTGACATGTGGTTTCAAACATCCATAAAAGAGGACAAGGAAATATTACTGTACCTCGATAAGTGTCCTAAATATAAATGTACTGCTGTCACATTGTTATTGGATGATGATTCAAACAGATCACATAATGTTCTTAAAATCTTGCTACAAGTCAAGCACTCTAGTTTCCACTGATCTGATGCAGACTGAGAGTGTTTAATAGCTTGTAGTGATGTGCTTATCAGGATGCTAATAATAAAGTAGACACAGGCAGATTATGCAGTTCTCCATCTCGCAGATGAGAAAAAATAATTCCTAATTATCAATGAGCAGTTGGTCATGTTCCCATGGTTACAATGTGAGACAAGATAGTTGTTTTTTTTCATAATGCATTAAGGAAGGAATGCAACTTTTACAATGCTTGATACTTTTTTCTCTCATACATTTTAGTGTTAATATGGCAGAATAACCATGGGAGACTGGAATTTCCTTGGAGGCATTTTAGAGGAGGTCCACATTCACTCCACTATTATTGGAAAGATTTGGCTAACGATCCTCTTCATATTTCGCATGCTTGTCCTTGGAGTGGCAACAGAGAATGTTTGGAATGATGAACAATCAGAATTTATATGCAATACTGAGCAGCCTGGTTGCAGAAACATGTGCTATGACGAGGCCTTTCCCATCTCTCTCATAAGATACTGGGTCTTGCAAGTTATATTTGTGTCTTCCCCTTCCTTGGTGTATATGGGTCATGCCTTATACAGACTAAGAGCCTTAGAAAAAGAGAGGCAAAAAAAGAAAGCTCAGGTAAGGATGGAACTTGAAAGCACTGAATTAGAAATGACTGAAAATCGTAAAAGACTGGAGAGAGAACTCCGGCAATTGGATCAAAGAAAGCTGAACAAAGCACCCCTAAGAGGCTCTTTGCTCTGCACTTATGTGATACATATTTTCACAAGATCTGCAGTGGAAATTTGCTTTATGATTGGGCAGTATCTTCTTTATGGTTTTCACTTAGATCCCCTTTATAAATGTCAGAGAGACCCATGTCCAAACACAGTTGACTGCTTTGTATCTAGACCAACAGAAAAGACAGTGTTTATATTATTCATGCAATCGATAGCGACTGTCTCATTGCTTTTAAATATTCTAGAAATTATCCACTTAGGATTCCGAAAAATTAAAATGGGACTCTGTGAGCAGAATAAAAACAAGGATGACTCTGACAATTTCTGCATAAACAAATCTAAGAAATATTCTGTGATACCACAGTCTTCTTTGGGAATATCTAACACCCCTCAGAAAACACTTCCTTGTGCTCTTAGCAGTTGTACCTTTTTGATGGAAAAGCAAACTGACACTATGCTCTACCCAGTTTTAAATTCTCCTTCTATGTTTCAGTCTGTGCCAAATAACTGTACAGAAAGCAGCAGTAATTACACCCATTGCAATCAGGAAAATAAATTTCCAAAGAAGAGGCCAGCTACAAATGCTTTAGACAATCACACTCAAAATGCTAGCACAAATAATAATGAAGGCTTTCTTGGCGAGCTTTGGACTGAGATGCATGATGCACAAGAAGAGGCTGAAGAGAAACATTTTCTTATTACTCAGAATGCAGATACAGCTTCAAACATGTACTTGAGAAGCTTTGCTGAGATGCCATCTCAAACTTTATTGCAACCTGATACAACTTTTCCTAATACCAGTTTTAGAAGACAGGCAATGGTTGAGAGCACAGGAGCACCAACAAATTCCCTTCCAAAGAACAGTGACGGAAGACAAAGCAGTTTCAGTGTAAACAAAGCCCAAATTCCTTACAATGCTAATGTAAAAAATTCCAGCCGACCAGACACTTCTGATTCTATGGGGGTGGTGAGCTCAGAATCTACACAAAGCAGAAACTGGAACAGTCCTAAGCTTTTCTCTCTGTCTAGGCAACAGTCACTGTCAAGCAATGCCAGCAGTAGGCGTGCCCCCACTGATCTTCAAATATAGTGTGAATTAACCATTAGCTGCACTAACCACTGCTGGCGTAATTCCTGAACAGAGACATAACCCAGACCTATGTGTAAGCGTAGCTAAATAATTCAACTTTAACCAACAAGTTACATAGATAGAAAAGTTGTGTAGCCCTTTGAACAGTAGCTAAGTAATTTTAAACAGTCTCTTTACTTACTTTGTAATGAAAGTGTGGCATAGACCTCAGTGTATAAACTTCTACACTCCAGCTAAAAAAGAAAACATACATCCTCTCAATCTATATATTAGGAAAAAGTCAGGCATAAAATCACAACTGATACTATTTAAATTGAATAAAAGTAGAAGACAAAATTTACAGTCAAATGATATTTTTTACAAAGACCAGTAAATCAAATTAGACTAAAGATGCCATTGGTGCTCTCAGAAGAATTAATTGGTAAAAATGTTTCTGCTTAATCAGTCTGAGAATTCAAACAGACATTTGATAGCTGACCCAAAGCAGAATGTCAAAAATATTCCACTGTTCAAACTGTGGTAAATACAGAGATTTTATTTATCAATACAGAGTTCTTATTTACAAGTAAGGAAGAGAAAAAGCATTTACATAACAGATCACTAATTCTTTGACTCCATGGTACACTTTTTTTTCAGTGTATCACCACTGACTTTCTCAGCAGAAAAATTGAAGTGAATTTCTTATACTATGCTGTCAGAGTTCAATACACCACTACATTTTTAGAACATCACAAGTTAAAGAAATGTTGTGAGCTTTACTTTTGACATTTTTCATAACACTAATAAATAGCAAAATCAGAAAGCAAGTTACTGAAATTTAATAGTCAGACATTTTGAATTTCATAAATTAGAATTCTTACTATGAAAAACAGAAAAAAGACAAAACCAAAAACAGAGAACATAAAAAGCAAATATGGTAGTACCTTCATGCCTTCAGTTACAGTGTCAAAAGACATAAAAAAGGTTTATCAAACAGTAAAAGTACTCCTTTTCTGTTTGTCTCTCCCCCAAATTCTGATAAACTTTTAAATCAAACAAAGCTTCTACCTCTTTAGGAGGAGCATTTGTGTTTATGCTTTTTATGAGGTTAACAAAACATTATGACATTCATCCACTTGCTGTTCAGGTCCATATGGTGTAAAGGAAGTTCCATGAAACATCTTGAAATAATAAAGGAGGAAAATATGAATAAAATACTACGATACATTTGTAATCAAGTTTTCTCTGTATGAAATACATTTATTTGAGTTGCACAGCACTGAAACACTGTAAATACTTGGTGAGGTGGTCACAGCTGGAATGCATTGGTATTTTTGTGTGTATTTTTTACTAGCAGATTTGACTTACTGTACATGTACTGAAAAAATAATTTGTGAGATATAGCATCATGATGTTACAGCATAATTAAATTCTTCAAGTGCATTGTCATTATGCTTACCAGGCAACCATGTTTCAGATTGACTGAAAAAGGCACGATACTTGCAAAAAGTAGCCAGAAAACCTATAAGGCTCTTTTGCTTGTAGCAGCAACATTAATTTGGTCCTGTCCATGTAATACACACTAGAACTATTAAAACTATTTGTTGTAGATTTCTCTCCAGCAAGTATCCTTTTCACTTCTAGTATTGTTCTATGTGTATACATAAATACAGCCCTATTTAGTTGTGTTTACACTGTAAAATTTAAAATTGTGTAATATACTGGATCATACATAAATGTATAGTGTGACTTAGGCAAGTTAATGCTGCTGCTGTGGCTTTGATTTTTGCATTTCTTGATGTGTAAGATTCTGCAGGCAATGACTGCTAATGCCTGTTTTGCATTTAATCTCTACATAATAAAAAGCCTAGTATTCAATGCACTCTGTTCCCGCTGTTTAAATAATAGAAAGTTAGCATTTAGATGTTCATGTATGGGATACGGCATTTGTATTTTTGTTGTTCAAGACAAGTTAAAAACAATTTTTCTGCTGCCATGAAAGGAATTTTATTAACTTTTTTTATGTCTGGACATGAGCCAAATATTCTGTTTCATCACAGCACCTTGCTAAATGAAGAGTAACTACTGAAAAATCTAAACTTTGCAGAAGAGCATGGAAAAAAGTATGAAAAATCCCTGCCATCATACGTGCAAGATAATTTGGTTGGTCTCTTTTTATTTTTAATTTTAGTCTTATTTCTATAATAAATAGATTTTATCTTTCAGCGTTTAGAAAAATAAACAGGTATAACTGCTTCTGTTTTTTTCAAACAGGCTAAGGCAAAAGACCTTTCTCTCGATGCGAAGATTTCACCACGTATCGCTCTTCCGAGCCTCTCGGGTAGGCACCTCTGCAGCTGCTGCTTGCTACAACTTTCTCCTGTGATTTCAGTCAGCTGCAGCTACTGAAATTTATTACTCAGATATTTTGAATTTCACAAACCAGAAGGTTTACTACGGAAAACAAAAAGCGACCAGCAGGACAGCTCGCCGCTCCGCCCGAACGCCGCGGCACCCGCCGCTCCGAGACGCTCGGGCCCCGCTCACGGCCGGCCGCGCTCCGCCGCCCTCCGCTCCGGACGGTTCCTGCCGCCACGGCTCGCCTTCTCCGCGGGGAGCTCCGGGGCCGCGTGTGGCACAGCCCTCGCAGGCTGAGGTGAGCCCCGGAACCGTCTCCGGCGGCTAGAGCGAGGCAGAGCGGGACTAGGGCCAGAGCCGCGCAAGGAAGGGAGCACAGAGAGCGGGACGGCGAGCACGGCCTGAGGGGAGCGGGGCCGCGCTGAGGGGAGCGCGGGCGGCGCGCGGGGCTGGCGCGCGGGGCGAGGCCCCGGGCGTTGCCGCGGCGCCGTCGCTCCGGTAACGGTGGGGAAGCGCTCGCGCCGTTAAAGCGCAGGGCGCAGGCGCGTGGCCGGGGCAGGCGCCGTGCGGGTTAGATGGCGCACTACAAGGTAGGGGGGAGCGCGCCGGCGTGGGCGCGGTGCCGCTCTCTGTGCCGACTGCGCGGAGCGGCGGGGCGCCCGCCC